TAAACCAAATATTTTACTAAAGCTACAAGAAGAAAAATGCCAAAAGAGGAAAAAATGCAAACAAACAAGGATGCCAGTAAATTCAAAGTTACTGCCCAAAAGGTCCTTTAAAGCACAGTGTAACCCTGCAGCTTCACAGCAGCTGGCGTTTAATAAATCTGTAGAAGAAAGCAGAGGGATTCAGCAGTGATAAAGGCACTTTGCTGAGCATATGGTAGGATTAATGCCTTAAAAGGACAAAGAATAGGAAAGAATCCTGTAACTTCTAATGGAGTATTTGATATGTTATTGTAGTGGCACATACAGCTACAGATAAATTCTTACGTCAGTGGTGATGAACAGAAGTTCAGTTGTTTGTTTAACTTCTGCTGTCTTTATCAGGTTTAACTGTCTAAAATGTGGCTGCACAGGTGAAGCTACAGAGGCAAGCTACAGATATAGATTGTCCCTAAAGATTGCTGACACTAATGATTTGTTTGACATTACTGTGTTTGGAAGCTGCTTAGATCCATTTTTTGGAGTCACCGCAGGAAACTTGCAGAGGTAAGGAATGGATTGCTGCTTAACTACATAGGTGCTTCCCCGCTCCTTCTCCCAGCCTTTTTTTTTTTTTAAAAAAAAAAAAAAAACAGAAAGAGAGATGAGCCTGCATAGTGCTGAGAGGAATGGCAAGAAGCTATTAAAACTGTCCCTTCCAGAATTCCCTTTTTAGCCATCACCCTGAGGAAAAGGCTTAAGGTTTTAGGTCGTGTCCATGTCTCTACCCCCTGACCCCTACCCCCTGGAAATCTTCAAATCTCAAGATGGATTACTTCTGTGAAGGAGATCCTCCACTGTCTATTGAAGGCAGCTACCAGATGCTAAGTGAGCTCTGCAATTTAGTTGGCCTTCTCCCTTGCGTCCTTCCTCCCTTATCTGAGATGAATGAATGGTTGTGTAACAGCAAATTAATAAGTAGGGTGGCTTTTCCACAGGCTTAGACACTATTTGTACCTTAAGACTTTTCTTAAGTCATGAAGAAAAATTCAGTCTTTAGTCAAAACACGTGTTGACCTTATAGCTCCTCTTTAATACAGCTGGATTTTCCTTTAGCAAAGAGGAATTTCAAGGAATGCCTGCTAGTCCTCAGAGCCTGACCCATAAGCTTCAGACGTTCTGATGTGCAAAACTGCTAGGATGGAACATTTGGATGCATTCACTACCTGTTTCTCTGTTCTCTTATTTTCCACTGACTCATGTTGTCATTGGATAGAAGACGACCCCTTGTACAGATCCCATATAAATAGCATTAATAACATTCCCATGACAGACATTTTACGTTAGACCACGGAAATACTGTAAACTATGGAAAAACAACAATTTGCATGTCTTTAACATGGGTGCTGCTGCTGCTATAAAGATGCAGGCAGGAAGGATGTGTAAGCAGTGCCGGCATTATAATTCGCAAGTCTGTGTCTGTACAAAATCCGCAACCACACAGAGAACCCTAAAAATTGTATGTGCATTAAACCTATTCACAGTGATTTTAATTGCTTCTATTTCACTAACAAATGAAGTGAACTAAACAATTTAATTTATAGGTTCATCCCTCACCTAGGTTTCATTCCATGTTTAGTTCAAGCTAACACAGGTCTTCTCTGTAGCATGTATCCCACCTACATTACAGCTAAAATGCTATGCAAGGCTTCTTCTGTTGATGGAATACTTCTATGCGTTTTTATTCAAGGTATATTCAAGACTTTAATCAGCTGTCAGGAGAAACAAACAAAGATGCGTCTCCAGGAGAGTTAGTTCAAGCAGTTGAAACCTGTTTCATTGGGAAAAGATTTATATTTGGAGTGAAGGTAACTTTTAATCCACTCTGCTCTTATAATGATTTCTTTTTTTCATTAGCTTACAGCCAAGTAGGAGCATAGACTGAGTTAGCAAACCATCATATACAATATCTTTTGGGATTTCAGTATACGGAGGAGAAAACTTAGGGCTAGGACATGGGAAGAACTTTATTTCTTTTCCTCTTCTGACTGTTGGGTTATTTTAAATTAATTGCATTCAAAAGCCATCTTGAGTGGCACTAGCCAACTTAACAGTCAGGGTCACTTTTCAGAGAGCCTGGGCAACTCCAACTCTTGCGTGTGTCAGTAACAGCTTGGAATCCATTTAAAAAAAAAAAAAACACACACACACAGTTCAAGCAAGAAACAAAAACTCTCTGTAAGCGCTGCCTTACCTTTTCAGTGCTTGCATAGTTTCCTGGGATCTGAAATGTAGGGATTTTTTCACACACACACACACACGCCCTGCAGCATTTTGATACTTCTGGATTTAAGAAAGTGTTTAAAGATGTTGATAAAACAGAGCTGTTCAGCATATACATCTGTGGTTCTTTTATATATTTAATAAACTAAAAATTAAGAACAAATATTCCCATAGGAACGGTCTTCTGAGTTCTGTTCAAGTAAGGCTCGTGTGAGTCATTCATGTTAGAAAGTTTGTAAACTAAATCCCATCTGGCACAGGCTTTTCCTTTCTGAGAGATACCATGACGTTTGTATTTAGACACGGTGCACTAGGAAAATCCTCAGGTCAGATAATGGAAGTTGGAGGGCCTTGTGGATTAACCTGGTTTAACCAGAATCATTCACCAGCTCTCCAGGTCCAATTTATTTACCAATACAAGTAGTCCTTCTGCATATCAATAGCCTTGCCGCTGTTCATGCATGCGCAAGGAGTAAACGTACATTTAAAGAACGTTTGCTCAGCCTTTGGGTACAGATATATCTGAACAGTTAATCTATGCATACACTTGCATTCTCCCAAATAAAACTCAGAATCAGTATAATGCGAGGAATTTGAGGTGGTTTTGCCCCCCTCCCTTTTTTCCCCTCCTTTAAATAACTTGCCTAAAAGTGCATTTTCCTCAGCCAGCAGCCTTTAGCCTCAACTTTTAACCTCTGCATAGACTGAGGAAGTAGAGGATTGCTGAATCTGAAGACAGCTATATCTGCTTTTTGTCCTTTGGCATTGCCAGATCTTGAGGGGGAGGGGAAAGAGAGTTTATCCACTTCTCAAGGCATTAGATAATTCTTTCTATTTTTAAATGTCATTTTCCACCTGAAATGTCCATGTAGCGAGAAGCAGATGCTGTAAAGAATTACAGCTGAAGCTCCTTTGAAAAACGATGCTCTCTAAGTAAATCTGAGATGATAAAGGTTGGAGCTTATTTCCCTTTCATAGAGGTAGTGCGTAGGAAATATCATGCTGGCTTGGATAGCTGAGCTGCCAAGTCAGGAATCTGGTACCAGAATGCTTTGCTTCAGGTACTGCCCAGTGCCGCCTAGATTTGAGGAGGAGGAAAAAAAAAGGCATTAGGCAGTTAGCCAGCTGGACAGAGCACGACTGGAGGAAGCCCCAGAGTCCCCAGTGCCCTAATGGGAGGAAGAAAATTTCTATGGAGTCCTTTCTTAAAATTCCTGCTTGTTTTTCCCAGATCCAAAACACTCTGCATCATTGCAACAAGCAAAGCACCTCTCGCTATGATGCCCTTTATAGCCCTTGCCAGTGCTTATTTCCTGGAGAGTACTGGCTTGCGACCGACTGTTTCCTGTTCTCTTCCCTGCAGATCCTGACAAAAAGTGAGACCTGAATTTAAGCCTGACTCGAAAGTGGTGCCTTAAAATCTTTATTTTTTGTCTCAGAACAAAGTATTGCACTAATTTTTTCCCCTCCCACCCGCAGGGTTGTGTGAGTCAAGATGGAGGGCATTCTGTTGCCAGCAGCATCTTGCAAAACTCTTCTAAAATTAATAGAGGTACAAAAAACCTTACAGCTTGCCAGATCTTCCTGCCAAACACTGCTGTCACTGGCTTTACTGTTATCAGCTACTTCCATCGGCTCCTGCAATCTGCAAAATTTAGGAGCTGTAATAGCAGCTCACATTTACCTGATGCATCTTCAGCTGCAGTAGATCAGCCTGTGAGTGAGCTCAGCAGCTTGTCTAGTCTGAGCAGAGACTCCTATTTTATTCATTCGAGTGGTGGAGAAAGTTCTTTAGGGTCCTGGCAGCAGTCCTTCAGCCTGACTTCATCTGTTGCTTGGGTAACAGCAGAAGACTTTTCATCTTTGGAAATGGAAAAGCTGATGAGTGAACAGAAGGAACAAGAGGAGAGGTCTGTCTCTGCAGAATCATGCACTGTAAGCCTCAACAATCAAACTCTCTGGAATTCTCAGTTTTGCAGCTCTTCTGAGAGGAAAGGAGATAAAGAGGAAGATGATGAATCAAGTTCACAGTCTAATCAGACTAACAACATCTCTGCAACTGACAAATTTGAGAGAATTTCCTCCTCAAAGACAGAGTGTTCATCTGATAATAGTTCCAGGTTATTACAAAATCCCTTGAAATTTGGAGTAAAAAACACTTACTTAGAGAATAAAAGTGGAAATGACTCTTATCCAGAAAAATCCCACAAATCCCTTTGTTACGAGAGACATGCTTCACCTTCTAATCATGTAAATGGAGCTGGAGCATCTCCAACAGATTCCATGCTTTGGGATGAGTTCCCGTTCTCAGAAAGTCTAAATGAATTTTTAGCCAGAATAGAAGACAAGAATGTTGTAACATCACCCAATCTTGATACAGGCACATGCGCCCTTGTTGAAAGTAGCAAGTTGGATACAAATATTGAGTCATCTCCTAGGCAAACCCTGGTAGCTGGTAATTTGCCTGAAGTGAGCGTATTAGGGAGTTTCTTGTCACCACTGGAAAAGGATAGTTGGGAGAGCATGTCCATTGCTTGCTTTCAGTCAAATCCAAATCCTGCAAGAGTTGAGGTGTCACAACATGAGTCTTTTCGTAGTGCTTTGTCTTTAACTACCAAAGAATGCAGAGCATCTTTCTTTATACCTAACCCACATGAACTGATTCCATCACGGTCCTTGCCAGTTACATCGGAGTCTTCTCCATCCAAGAGTAGATTTGTGCAGTCTAAACAAGCAAATATTGGCATTTCAAAGTCGACTTGTTCTTTCCTCAGCCTACAATGTACTACTGAACACAGAAAAATCTTACGTTTACAAAGGATCAGGACAGCTGCTTGGGTACCTTCTGCACATGATAGCCCTTCAGTTGATTGGGAGAATAAAGAAAATTGTTCTTGTATACCAAGCCAAAGAAAAGATGTTACATGCTCGGGGGCATGGGACTCTGATCCAGCAACTCCTATCAATACAAGAAGGACATATAAAAGAGAATTAAAACCACTGACAGAACTGCAAGAAAATACCATTAGAAGTATAAATAAGAAAGAGAGGCTGTGGAACAGTGGCTGCCCTGAAGGCAGCTATAATGCTTCTGCTGATCTCTTTGATGCAAGTGCAAGAGAGAGAGCAAAGACAGTAGAATTTTTAAGTAAAACATGTGCCTCTTCATTACAGGAAGATGCTTTGACAGAAAAGGGCGTAGATGAATTGGTGCTTTATCTCGATGTTCCCTGTAAAAAATCAAAACATAGATCATCCCTACATAGGTCTCCTCCTGCTTTTAGTAAAC